TATATATATATATATATATATATATATATATATATATATATATATATATATATATATATATATATATATATATATATATATATCCTTCTAAATTTTAAAAAGAATATATTTGTCCCTCTAAATTTCAAAATTAACATAAATTTTTGTGATAAAAATATAGATGATTGAAAAAAAACTTATTTTTAGGCTTTTTTTAAAAAAAGTACCTCTAATTTAGTGCTCTTGTTTTATATAATATCTTAAATGTCTCCCGTCGTTATCTAACTATTTTTATCTCATCGCTTGCACCTTACCACTTCGATATCATTACTTTTGCACTCATTGTGACTATCTTCATCTCATCACCTCTATCTCTATCACTTCGACTCCATCGTTTTTATCTCGGAGAGGTATAGTCACTTCCTTCGTCTGGTCACTTCACTTCCTTCGTCTGGTCACTTTAGCCTCATCGTGATAATCTTTTTTTCCTCCACAAAGAATTAAACATTATCTTACATCAATATTTTAAATAACAAAAATAATATATTGATAAACTCACGAGTAAAAACAAATAATTATTAAGTCAGTCCATATCATTTAGTGTAAACAATATTCACAAAATATACGCATGCCAAAGATTTTAATATATGCATGTCCAAAGTTTCACGGAGAATTGATGTGATAGGCAGTCATAACCCATTGTTTCGTAAGCTACCAAGTTTGAATATAATTTCTTCATGGAAAACTATGGTTTGAACATACACAGTCCCATTCAAACTTGCTGTAATACCTCCCAATCTTATGAAATGGAGAATTCAATTCAACACTAACTTAGGTTGAACTGACTTTTCCATCGATTAGGAAGCTTCCGTTGGAACAATTTTAGATTATGTAGAGATTGTTTTCATTAATTAATTATATATATATATATATAATTAATACTCATTTAATTTTTTATTTATGAATTTCAAATTTACAACTAAGAGCATAAAATAGTCCACCTTGAGAATAATAACTCGATACGAGTCTTGCAGAACAGACACCAAACTCAATCAATTCCCATAAATTGATTGTTTCGAACTGTGATCCTTTAAATCAAGTTTGACTCGCTTCAACAATTCCGACTAGACAACCAAAAATAACATTGATAATAGATAGGATAAGATACATTCACTTATATTCTTCATATGATAATGAGTATATTTTGAAAGATGATGTTAGTTTGTTCCTAACTTGTTGAACATTTGATTTGGCCGAAGGACATCAAACTTGACTAATGTCAAGCAAATCAAAGTGATCGTTGTCTCGTTCTTTTGCGTTGCCACCGCATGCCAATGGAATTCGTTCACCATATTCCACAAGGTTGACCCCAATACGCGTTTTCTAACTCCCTTCTGGTGCTTTTCTTGTGTCCAACTGGTAAGAGCTCATCTTTGGGAATTGGCTAATTCCCCCATAGATCTATTTTTTTATAGTTTCTTTAGAAAAAAAAAAGGAAAAAAAAAACTAGTCGGAGTAATATTTTGTTTAGAAAAAATATTAATATTCGACTATTGATCCTTTTGTATTCACGGGAGAATCTTCAAGCAAGTTTATAGGGTTATTACTATTAATTTAGACTTAAAAGTATTTTTTTTTATCATATGATGGTATAGTTTGTTTAAAAAAAAAAAATAATAATAATAATTGAAATAAAATCGTATAATAAATCATTTTCGAATTGATAGAAGTGTCATCCGCTATTATGTCAGTATCACTGTATCAACTTTTTTTTTTTTTTATAAAGTTGATTATCATTCAAGAACTGATGCATCTCACAAGTCCATCTTTGAATTATATTGACAACCAGCTTCTTTGGGTCATTAGTCTTTTTTGTTTCCGTTGGAAACCCTCTTGTTCTTAATCAAGTCACCAAACTCCACTCATAAGCTTTCAATGATGTGAATTGAAAGCACTGACATCCAGAGAGCCAAAGTCCTAACACTCGGTGGATTATGCCACCATGCTTCAATCTCTCCGTGACTTGAGGTGAGTGTATGAGTCGTGGATTAAGAGAAGAAAATTTTATTACCAATCCGTTTCGTCATTTATAATTTTATTTTAATTTTTTTCATATTATGTGAGAATTTATTTTAAATAGATTTCTTTTTCTTTTTCTTTTCTTCAGGTGATGAGTGAAGAGGGGCAAATAGGAAAGTGGACGAGATAGAGAGGGGCAAATAAATGCATGTGGTACAACGCATTCTAATTTTAATGTGAAAACATATACTATAGCCGAAAAACATAATACTTTAATGTTTGATTACTTCACTTTGGATGCAGTCCATTATCTACAACTGATGTCTTAAATGAAATTAGGCAGATGTTATTATCAGAAACATTTTTCAAAGAGCAAGACTTAGAATTCCAGTCACAAAAAATACACACCACGGGCTGTCCAAAGAACAGTGGCGATCAGATCCCCAGCTGTGTCGACTGTTCGTCGTCCTCATCTCTCGTTCCAAACCTTCCCTGGAATTGCTTCGAGTACAATGTGGGCAGTTGGGTGTAATGGTGGAACGAACCATCCTTGAGACTGCAAAGCATGATGTACTTTGATGAATGGGACCAATGTGTTCATGAATCTCGTTGATCTATTAAGATCACATTTCTGAAATATTTACTAACAATCTCCGCAAAGTTATCCTACAATTTTATATAAAGAATACAAAAATAAAAATAAATGAGTTAGAACAGTGGAGTTGAACTCACAGGCGTATGTTCCTTTTTATTCTTCCTCGAGAAGAGCCAGGCCAGAGCATACCCTGCAACATAAATTCTGCAGTAAATACAGATTGAAAGAAGAGAGGAAAAGAGAGAAGAAATAGAGGAAGAAGTAGAATGAGATGAATAAGAAACTCCCTTTCCTTCTTCTTCTTCTTCTTTTGTTATTATTGCCTTCCACCTTCTTCTTTTTTTCTTTTTACACTCTTTATTCTCCTCCATCTTCTTTTTTCTCCCTTCACTTCTTTTTCTTTCTGAAGAACGAGACTGTGCAATTCATTGCACATTAAGGGAGGGTTCAAATAGTTTTTGTCTTTGATAACAATAGTACTTAGCTTAACAACTTTCATCGGAGGGCCTGGCCCCCCTGTTCTGAGCTCCAATCACCAGGGAGCTACACTTTGCTGTTTTAACTAATACACAAAAATTCCTCATTATACAAAAATAAAAATAAAAAATATATTTGATCACGGCAAGCAATGCCGAGTCTAGACTGGCTAGCCACTCCATAGCAGAAGCCCGATCAAACTTTAGATGGGGACTTTGCCACTCTCCCTGACGTTTGAGGTGGTTTGCTGCTTCTCTCAGTCTTTCAGAATAGAAAAAGACCAACAACATCAAATGTGAGAAACTTGACAAGATTTCTCAAAGGACATGATACATCAACGGACGATGCAACCGACCAATTGGATGGGGTTGATAGTGATGACCTTGGGTAGGCTGACTTTGGGTTGACTAAAGAATTCAACGAGTTCAAGTGTTTCGTCAATAGTATCCGTAATCAGAATCATCGCTTCTCCGAGAGGTGCTCAGATCTCCGCCCAACCTCTTGTTGATGCTAGTGCGTTGAACACATCGAACCAGCGACTGCACCACTTCTGACATCGCAGGCCGGAACTCAGGCTCTGACTGTATGAATCGAAAGGAAGAAACAAGTTAGTTACCCATAAGTCAACTCACAAGTACAAACAATTATAGATACAACAAATTCAGGACCGATTTCACATGACCACAGATCCCCAACAACAGAAGAGATTTCATAAAATGGAACAATAATGATGCACTAGTCTGGAGAAGTGCAGCCAAACGGAAAGATGACCAGCATAGGTTCAGAGAGCACTTTACCTGAATACACAGAGCAATGACATCAGCAAATCGAGATAATGACTTGGGTGGGTAGAGGCCTCGAAGGGCAGGGTCCACCATCTGTGCCAATGCATCAATGTCATGAAGTTGTGGTGCTGCCCAGCGAACTAATGACTGCTCAATTCTTGGGTTTGAACTGAAATATTAAAAAAAATATATATTCAAAATTTTGGATTATGAAAAAAGGTGTAACTCCAAGCAGTGCAACTATACCAAAAATGTCAGCATCTTCAGTTACCTGTCAAAGGGCTTACGTCCTGTCAATAACTCAAGCATGACCACTCCAAAGCTGTAGATATCACTCTTCATTGCATAGGCAGAAGGTTTTGTGCATTCAGGAGGATTGTATCCAGGTCCCAAGTTCTCACTTGTATCCTGATGCAAAAGGGTGATGATGACTCAGTACTGTGGTTTCGAATGTTACGCATACCTGCATGGTTCCCTAATATGATGCAAATGAATTTTAATTGAACCTCAAAAAAGACCCCTAGACCACAGTCAGCCAAGTGTGGATTTAGCTCAGCATCAAGTAAGATGTTTGAAGACTTAATGTTTTTGTGAATCACAGATGGCGTGCAGACCTCATGAAGGTACCTGGACAAAGAGTGAAGCATGTTAAAATGGGCAGATGTGTACAGTATGACAGGGATGCATCAGCTACTGAAACCCATCTATAAAGACTGATTGAGTTGAAATTTAGCCACTTGGTTCAGTTATGATGGCTGAACATCCTAATCAAGCAACTAAATGTCAAAAAGGCCATTATCATGAAGAATGAACCAGGAGAGGTGTCTCCTGAGTCTTTGGCGCAGGGTTTTGTGCACTTTAACAAAAAGGAGTTGTTAATCCTCCCTTCATATGTGTAGACAAATCATGGAATGCACATGATGATTATAATGTATAATATGATAGCAACCCATCGGTCATGTCAAAACAAGGTCATGAAAATAGTAGGAAATTCCATGAGTCAATTTTTGAAACTGAAATACAGGTTTGCTAGGATGATGATTCTATGTTAAGGCAAGATCAAGAATGCCAAATGGAAATATGTTAGTTCTTTTCCATATACTTGTTATCCTTTCTGTTTGTTATAGAATAATGTGTCTAACTGTCAAAAAGATCAACAATTTATGCAGCATGGATATGTTAAATTGTCACAGAAAACAGATTGAATATTGAAAACCAAAGAATAGAATTGTTAAGCATGGATGGGTCTGCACAAATGAAATATGTGAAAATAAAAGCAGCAGCATGTAAGCAATAGATACCACAAGTGAATTTTGTCATCTAGTTGCATATCATAAAAGTTCATAATACAAAGGGAAAAATAATGACTATGTTCCATAAGAGAATGCTCAATTAAGATCGTTGATCATGAACACACCATCTCAAGTACCCCTGAAGCCTGATGTGACAATGAGAGTATATAGTCAAAACTGTTGGAATCAATATACATTAGGTATCACGGTGAGAAGACACATGGTCATTATAATTATCATACATTTCCACTTAGGTGGTGTCTTAAGGGTATGTACTTACTCTACAGCACGAGCTGTCCCAAGTGCAATCCTCACTCGAGTGTCCCAGGTCAATGGTTTGCTATAATCATCTGATAAATGTAAAAAACCATGAAGAGAACCATTTTGTTGGAGCTCATAGACCAAAAGTTGGTAACCAGACTCGGAGCAATAACCCAAAAGTTCAGCAACGTTTGAATGATGCAGCTTGGAGATGCCAGAGACTACTTCCATAAAGTCAGAAGAATGGCTTCCAGATAAATTTAATGTCTCTATCTTCTTAACAGCCAAAGCCTGTAAAAGCATTTGTAAATAAATGAAGAAGCTCAATCACATGTGTATGTGTTTCTATATATATGTATGTATGTATATATATATGTATGTATGTATATATATATATGTATGTATGTATGTATATATATATATGTATATATACATATGCATAGGTACATATACATATACATATATATACATATATATATATATATATATATATATAT